TCCCTTCTAGGTGGCGTCCTTGAACGCTTCCTCTATTCTTTCTTTTCTGCCAAGATTGAGCCCGGCTTTACAACATATTTTTTGAAGTAGCCGTTTTGAATCAAGTCTTCAATCTGACGCTTCAACTCCCAACAGCTTGAGGTATCATGGCCGTGGTCGCGGTGGACTTAGAATCATACTTTCCTTTGTCTTGGCCTCCTGACTTTCTCTGGTCGGACCTAGGTCCGTCTGACCTAGCTTAGTTCTGAGCAGCTCCTGCCCATCTATGACTTTATTGGCCTTTTGCAAGACCTCAACGAAGGTTGACAGTGCTTCTTCGCCCAGTTTAACCTTCAGAGTTTCGTTGACCAGGCTAGTAATGAAGTAGCACATGACCGAGTCGTCAGAGCAATGCGCGACCTTAAGCTGCTCCTTCTGGAAGTGGGTCACATATTCTCTCAAAGTCTTGCCTTATTTCTGTCAGATGGTGGCGACGTGAGTGGCAGTTTTCCTGTCATAATGCCGAAAAGAGAATTGGCTAATGAACTCTTTCCTCAGCTGATTGTAGGTCGAGATCGACCTTGTCGGCAACCTTCTGTACCAGGGCCGAGCGCTCCCCGTGAGAGCAATCTGAAAGGCTTGGTAGTTGATGGCGTCAGACGCCGCTTGGAAGTCCATAAGGTCTTCAAAAACCTCTACGTAGTCCTTTGGGTCCTTAGACCTGTCGTAGGGTTTCATGGCAGGCATTTTAAACTATGGAGGGATTGAGGCCTCCAAGACGTTCGAGGTGAATGGTGATTCACCCATCTCGCCATCATCAAATGGGTTTTCTTTCTTTTCGCACTTAGCCTTAAGTGCCTCAACTTGCTCGTCGAACCTATTTTCATCAGGTCGAACTTTTCCCTCGTTATGATAGCCTCTAGCGTCAACGGTGTGTATTTTGACTGGGCCTTGAGGTCGGAATTGGAGTATCTTTGAGAGCAGGATGGAGAGATCCCTAAGCCTCATGAGGCCTTCCTCTTTTTATCGACGAGGTGCTTCCGAAGATCGTGATCTTTCAAACTATAGTCGATCCCTCCGTTGTCGGTGATGGACTTATAGTCATCGGGGTGAATGGGGAGATCTTGGTCATCTCCATCTTTTGGCAGGTCGTCTGCCCCGCCTGGGGCCTTGGAATGGGACCCAGCTCAATTTGCCCTGATCATCTCATTATATGTCTCCTCCATGGTGCACACTCAGTTGCGCATATCATCTAACTCCCGCTGGAGGGTAGCAAAAACCTCAGGGTCTGCAGTTGGCGCGACCCTGGGAGAAATCTTTTTCGAGGTCCCACCTCGATGTCGGTTGGTCTTGCTGGGCCTCGGGTGTGCCGGGGGTAGGACGGTGTTGGCATTGCGGGTGGACCTTCGAGGTGGCTCCACTTCTTGCCCTACCCTAGCCTGGTCTTAAGTCAATTTGGCGTCAACTTCATGTTGAGCACCATTGTTTGCATTCAAAGCCCTCCGTTCAGTGGTGTTCACAGAATCTGCTGGGTGAACCATCTCGGGTCGGATTACTTTGGTTGTTGGGATGACTTGCAATGTCCTTTCCCACAAACGGTGCCAAATGTTTATGCAAGAAATTGAACAACGTCAATCTAGCTCGAACCTAGTCCTTGCTTCGACCTGAAACGCTAAGGGAAGACTTGCACCAATGGGCAAAATTTTCGACGCTCAAGTTAGTAAGCAGCTCGGACTCAATATTAGATTCGAGGAGAAATTCGATACTTGATGGTGAAATGAGGCCCTCTGTTTAGGCTCCGTCAGGGGTTGCGATAGGCGATTAACCTTGTCGGATTAGAGGTCGGACGTGTCGGGTTCGAGCAGATCGAACTCGGACAGTTTTCTGGGAGTAACAAGTTAATCCTTAATAGAAAATGGCAAGTCTTTCCATGTCAGCGACGAATCTCCGTCTTCCATGTGGCAGTAGGGTTTTTCATCCCCAAACACTTGTGTTGGTCACAGAATTATTGACTGATGAGAACTATATTTCATAGAGCCGATCAATGCTAATTGTGCTATCTGTGAAGAACAAGCTCGTATTTATTGATGAATCTATTAATCGTCCTACTGGAGACCTTCTCTCTACCTGGGTGCGCAACAATCACGTTGTCATAGCATGGATCTTGAATTCAGTCTCCAAGCCAATTTCAGTAAGTATAATTTTCTCTGAATCAGCACGAGATATTTGACTTAACCTCAAGGATCGATTTGAGAAGAAGAATGTTCTCGCAAAACCAGGAATCGGTGAGCATTTATTTCACTCAGTTGAAGGCTGTTTGGGATGAATATCACATTTATCGTCCTCCATGCACTTGTGGCCGCTGTACCTACGGTGGAGCGCGACAGATTATGGAATTTGCTTAATTTGAGCACCTTATGTCCTTTCTTATGGGACTCAATGATTATTTTGCTCAAATTAGGGCTAAAGTGCAACTCATGGATCTGTTTCCATCAATTAGTGAGGCGTTCTCTCTGATCTCTCAAGAAGAGCAATAGAGGTCGATTAGATCTTTTTCTTCTGTGCAAGCCTCTGCTTTTGGAATGGTAGTTCAACAGCAACAGGTTCCTCGAACTCATTCATCAGGAACAAGATATAAGTCGAATAATCAACCCTTTTGCACTCACTGCAATATGTTAGGGCACACGATCAATCGTTGTTACAAGTTACAAAGTTTTCCTTATGGATACAAACCATGAAATACTAAAAAATCTCACGCGATGTCTAATTCGACTATTGTTGCTAGTTCTCCTTTGAACTCTGGTTCACATTCTCATATGAGTTCGAATTCGTCAAGTGTGATCCATTCTAATGCCGTTGGGAACTCAGTCTTATCTTCGAGTTCTTCTCCTATGCTCACGGCTTCCGGCACATCTGATGCGATTTCTCAATGTCACAATATCCTTAATATGCTACAGTCACAGCCAAATGCAGCAAAAACTGAAGCTAATACTTCTTCAGCGTATATGGTGGGTATTTGTTCTGTCCCTCATAAATCTGCTCATGTGACTGGACAATGGATTGTTGATTTTGAAGCTTCTGGACATATTTGCTTTATAAAAGAATTATTTGATTCTTTAATTCCGATTACAACTTCTATTGTCTTGCCAAATAACACTCGCCTTGTTGTGAATTTTGTTGGTACCATTCAACTATGTGATTTATTATTCTTCGGGAGGTTTTGTATGTTCCTTAGTTTCGGTATAATTTGCTCTCTATCAGTGCACTAACCAAAGATCTGTCTGTTTCTGTTTACTTTGTTGGTGATGCTTGCTTCATTCAGGACAAGTCCACTTTGAGAATGATTGGGAAGGGTGGCCTCTTTCGTGGTCTGTACGTGTTTGATGGATAAAAAATTGAAGGAGATATTGTTGTTCCTTTGTATGTTGCTTGTTCTTCTACTATTCGTAGGATACCTATTGCTTCATGGCATAATAGACTTGGACATCCTTCTTATTCTCGATTATTTGCTTTGAAAGACACCTTATGTTTTGAGTCCTCTAAGCATGCTTGTTCTGATCCGTGTATGGTTTGTCCACTAGCTAAGCAAAAGCGACTTTCTTTTGAATCAAATAATAAGTTCTCTGCTCATGCTTTTGATCTTATATGCTGATATTTAGGGCCCTTTTTATGTACCTATACATGCTGGTTATACCTATTTTTTTACTATTGTTGATGATTGTACTCGTTATACATGGGTGTATTTGCTTCGAAGAAAGTCGGAGGCGTCAGTTGTTATTCCTCAGTTTTTTAAACTTGTTGAGACTCAATATAGTAAGAATATTAAGGATTTTCTTTGTGATAATGCACCTGAACTTAGATTTGATGAATTTTTTAAGTCTAGAGGTGTTTTACATCAGTATTCTTGTGTCGAACGACCGGAACAAAACTCTGTTGTTGAACGGTAAGCACTAACATATCCTTAATGTTGCTCGTGCCTTGTATTTTCAGTCATGAGTTCCTCTTTATTTTTGGGGTGACTGTGTTCTTACAGCTGTTCACTTGGTCAATCGTACACCTTCTCGTTTCTTGCATTAGCAAACTTCTTATGAGTTATTGCATAAATTGGTCCTTGATTACCTTTCCATTCGAGTGTTTGGTTGTCTATGTTTTGCTTCATCTCTTCCACATCGTCGATCTAAATTTGATGCTCGTGCTATACCTGCTGTCTTTCTTGGTTATCCATATAGGATGAAGGCATATAAGTTGTTGGATATTGAGAAGAGAAAATTTTTTATGTCTCCTGATCTAGTTGTTCATGAAACTGTCTTCCCCTTTCATAAAGTGACACTTGCTTCTGATCTTCATGATTTCCTCTCCAATTTTTTTCTTCCCAAACCCTTTAATGTTAACACTATCCCTCCTGAGATTTCCTCAATTCCCCACCCGCTTTGATATTCCTTCTCCCTTTGATATTCCTTCACCCACCTTAGACCATATGGATTCTCCTTCTACTCTTTCTAATACTATTCCACCTTCTTCCATCCCACCTATTATTCCTACTGATGCCACGATTCCTAATAACACTGCATCTATTATCCTTCATCGCTCCACTTGAATTACCAAACCGCATTCTTATCTTCAAAATTATCATTGCAATCTTGCCTCGCAGAACAATTTACTTGTTTCTTCTACTCATTTTCCCTTCCAAAATTTTGTCTCGTATTGCAAGCTTTCTCCTTCTCATCGTGCCTTCATTGTGGCTTTATCCTCTCATTATGAACCATCTTTTTATCATCAAGCCATTCAATTTAAGCACTGGAAGGATGCTATGAGTTAATTATCATGGAAGAAAATAGGACTTGGTCTATTGTCCCTTTACCTTCGGGTAAACATTCCATTGGCTGTAAATGGGTCTACAAAGTCAAACACAAGACCGATGGTTCTATTGAGCATTACAAAGCTCATCTGGTAGCCAAGAGGTTTACCCAACTAGAAGGATTGGACTTTCTTGAGACCTTTTCTCCCATGGCCAAGATTGTTACTGTGCATATTTTGTTAACAATTGCTGTTTCTAGAAATTGGCCGCTTATTCAGCTTGATGTTAATAACGCCTTTCTTCATGGTGATTCTCTTGAAAAGGTTTATATGAATCTTCAGTTAGGATATCAGCCTACCAATTTTTTGATTCAGGGGAGCATCTTGTTTGTCGATTGCATAAGTCAATATATGGTTTAAAACAAGCTTCACGACAATGGTTTGCCAAGTTTTCAGATGTTTTGTTTTCGCTCGGTTTTCTTCAGTCTAAATCTGATTACTCTCTTTTTACTCGAGGGTCTGGTGCTTCTTTTATAGCTCTTTTGGTGTATGTTGATGACATTATTATTACCAGAGCTAACCTTCCAGATATTGATTAGTTGAAGCTTCTTCTTAACGATCGGTTTCGTCTTAAGGACTTAGGTTCTCTTAAGTACTTTCTTGATCTTGAGCTTGCTTGGTTTACTTTCGGTATTTTAGTTTTCTAACTTTGGCTTATATTTTGAAAATACATTTTTTAAAATATCATACTAAAGAAACAAATAGATTAAAATAATGTTTATAAGATTTTCAATAGGAGAAAATAAACAATGAAATGAAATGGAAAAATCACTACAAAAATATCTGAACCCAACTGCAAGTTTGGAATTTTTTTTTTAAAATGAAATGGTTAATTATTGAACCTATCAAAAGTTTAAGAATAAAATTAGATTAATTATTTTAGACAAATCTCTCTAAAAAGTTAAGATTTGAATTCCCACCTTCACTATTTTTGAAAGGGAAAGAAAAAGAGAGAGAAAAAAAGAAAAAAAAAAACTAAAATTGACTTGTTGTACTAAATGAGAGAGTAAAAATTTATTTTTTTTCCTCATAATTTTTTTATTTTGTGATATATTCTTAAAAAACTTTTTAAATTTTTAAAAAAATTTGACTTCCATCTAAAAGATGCTCACAAAACGTGAAATATGTACAGTGATGTGAAAATAAAAATAGTGATTTTTTATAGAGAACATTACAATTCAAATAAACTCGAACAAAGTTTTTAAATTTATTTGATCATAAGCCCAATTAAAATATCTACTCTTCTTTTTTTTTTTTAAGTTGAAATTCAAATTTATATGATATATTTGAAAGATCCTAATTTGAAATGGATCAATATAATATAATTTAGACGATGAAGAAATTATATGTACGAAATAAAAGGAATTGAGAGAACAAAAATTCTTTCATAAATTTCTTTTTACTTCGAAGGAAAATTCAAAGAACAGATATTCCCTGTTCTTCACGAATCGTGAATTCAAATTCAAATTCAAATTGCAACAGTAAGTTTGAAATTAGAACCGGATTTCTCTTCCATCCTCTTGATTCTGTTTCAATTTCTGGTAAATTTAGTAACTATAATTCGAAATTTACGTGTTAGTTCATGTGATGATCTTTGGTCGAAGATCATTCAATTGTTCTACAAACTCCTCAATCAATCCTTGAAGAATATACGAGTCAAAGCCTTCAATTATACCTCCAAAATCTTCGTGTTCTTCACAAATTTTGCTGAATTTCCAATTTGACTCGGCCAATTCAGTCTCAGTCATCCTGCAAATCTCTTCTTCCCATCTTTCTTGCTGCGTTCCATCGCCGCCCCCTTTCGCCTTCGCAATTTTTACTTCGTTGATTATCAAATCATCGTCGTTTCGAGGAGATGGGCTCTGAGAAATTTCGAGCTCCGGCGATAGTTTCCTTCTCGGGTGTGTGGGGGAGGAGCTTGAAGCGGCGTCTCCTGAAAGTAGTAATTAAGGGAACGTGAGAAACCAATTGAAGCGTCTGAATTAGGATTCGTTGACGAATGGGAAATCAAACCTGATGATGGGGCTCCGGAATCTCTGAGGAATTGACTGCAATCGAGAACTGAAACCGGGCTTGATTCGTCGGAACTGCAGTCTGATTCTACTCTTCTGGTTGCTTTTCTGCCATTGGTGACTCTTTCAGGTACTGATCCTCCGCCTCGGAGTCTCCCATGGCGGTGCTCCTTCGTTGAAATTTTGGAGGTACGTTTATTGGAGACTCTCCTTCTTGATTTCTTCTGTTCTTTCAAATCTATTAGAACAAACTCTTTGGCTTCTTCTGGATCCAGTGTCTTCTTCTTCTTCGTTTTGCTCGCTGAAAGCTGCTCTGTTTTGTTGCTTCCCCCGTTCTTACATCTCTCTTCCTCTTCCTTTCTTTGCTTGAATTCTCCACTCCTCCTTTCGCTTCTTCTTCTTTCTTTGGGTCTGAATTCTTTGCTTCTGCTTTCTCCCTCAAAGCTAAGGATGAAGTAATCCTCATTTTCAAGCTCAAGAAAGGTTGGGATTTCCCTGAATGAGAGCGTTGATCTGATCCGCTGATGCTTGCCCTCCAAGTGTTTGTAGAAATGCTCCAATGAGTTCATGGATTGGCTCCTTGATATCAAATTCTGATTCAGCTTCATCTCTGGCATGGGATCCAAACCCATCAACCTCGCCACAATTCCAGCACTGGGCTTGCCCTCATTTGTTGCCTTGATGGCACTCACATCCTTGACTTGAAGAACCTTGTCACTATCAGACTTCACTGAGTTAGCTTCTTCCATGATCTGGTCAGACGGGTGCGTCGGGAGGCTGCCGGAGCAGAGAATTCGACGGAGAATTCCCGAAAGGCAGCTGGGTGTAGCTCTGGGGTTGCAGACATTGGCATCGAAAGTGGAAGTGGAGAAGGAAGAAGAGGAGGAGCAAGAAGGAGAAGGCAACAACTTCATGCTGATTTCAGGTCAGTAATGCTTAGGAAAATGAGTAAAAGGAAATCTAAGTTAAGAGGGGTTGTGTTGAAATTGGGATTTCCACTAAGGGGGGATTCTTCGTTTTTCTTTTTCTTTTTCCTGGTAAAGCAATTACAGAAAACAAAGTGAAGAAGAAAAATTTGAATGGGTTATGATAGAAAGTAAGAAAGAGAAGAGAAAAAGAGAAAGTGGCGGGCTTTGTGTTTGAAAATGTTGGCTGGTCTAGTTGATTTATGGTGGTTGGGCCAGGATTATGTCTGCTTGCACTTTTGAGGGGTCAATTTTTTTCAATTTTGTTGGCTTCTCCAACTGACTTAAAACTCTTGAACCACCTTATTCCATTCCCATTGCTCATTTCTCATTGCATTATTAACCTAAGAACTGCTCATTTAGATTAGATTTACGTTAATAGAGAGCATCTGTGACACTTGTTTTGAGATTTCGAGCTCCATGATGTTTGTATTTCTTGCAGTTCATCATATTACTATTAGAATAGAAAGAGCATCAACCCATTAGAATGCAAAACAAACAAATCATTCCATTAAAATAGATCATGCCATTCCATATGCTGAAAACTGAAGAGTTTCTTGGGATTGGGGATTTAGTAAAGTATATGAACAGGCAAAGATTGCTTGGCATGTTGTGTTAGTTGGCAGGGTGAAACATTAGGAGTACTATATATGTCAGTAAGGAAATTTTGGAATTGTGTGGCAGTTCTGACTTGAAATTCTCTCTCTCTCTCTCTCTTGGGTTTTCTTTTGTTGAAACTGAACAGAAACCACTCTGCAGACCAACAAGATGGAGTGAAAGATTAAACTGGCAAAGGTTGGACCAGAAGATTATGCAGTTGTCCAAACCGACCAGTTCTGGTAAGAAGAAGATTTTGCCTCTGCTCTGCTCTGCTCTGTGCTCTCTAGTATGTACTGTTTCGAAATTTGAATTTGAGGAGAAAATGGTATGAACATTGTTATACAAAGTTAGTGTTTTGATCCATTTTTATTAAACTTTGTGAGTTATGAAATTTGAATTTGTGGGATGTGTGTTTGAACTAAGCAAAAGAATAAGACAGAGGAAATTTGAAGCTGTGTAATATGTGTTGTCTCCAGTTGTGAGAATAGCAAAACTTAGGACAAATTGCGTAAACCATCCGAAGTATTTTGGTTCTTATAATCTGTAACCCGAAATTTTAATTTTAAAATTGGATCCTTTAACGTGCAAGATTTTAGAATGGTTAAATCTTTTTGTTTCTTGGGTAAATTGGAGAAAAATTTTACAAGAATATGTTTTAAAATTTACCCGTGAAATATAGTGATGGTTGCAATTACACACTTGAACCTGCAATCGCTCCTTAAATTTATGAAATGTTTTAATTTAATCCTTGTATTAAACTAGAAATATTGCTACAATCAAACTCTCGTACAATTAATTTGTTACAATCAAACTCATGATTAATATTATAGTTTTCAAATATTAAAAGATTAAAAAAAGGTTAAATGGTACAATCTTATAGTGTGAGAGTTAGATTATAAGATTCGGATTAATATTATAGCTTTCAAATATTAAAAGATTAAAAAAATGTTAAATGGTAACAATCTTGTAGTTTGAGAGTTGGATTATAAGATTCTTATTATAGTTCGATGGTGTTTGCAATAATTAAGGATTTAATTGCAACAATCTCATAAGTTGAGGTAATTGATCAAGTTGAGAGTTTAAACGTGTATTTCTAACCATTCCTATAATTTTAGATAGTATAGACCATAGAGATAATATTTTGGTACATAATTGATTTGAAATCAATAACATAGTTGTCGTAAACATGGTTCTAAATATTCGTTGACACGTCAATATTTCCATCGGCATATCCATGTTTCTATAGATTCGACATCGGCATGAATGGTGAATCGACATTTCCGTCATAGTACAAGAAAATCGACAAAATATAAAAAATATCAACAAAATGTCACTAATATAATATTAGTTATTTTTAGCTAATTTAGAAATGAAAAAATGTTTATTTTTTAATTTAAATATTTTTTAGGATTTTTTAATTTTTCAAACTTTTACATAAATATCTATCAACATTTTATCGATATGAAATTAGCCTCAACTCTTAATATAATACCTCAATTACCCTTCATGAGAGAAGAAACTGT